CTCGTGTGTTCACCAGAGAGAGAGAGAAAGAGAAAGCAAGCCACCAGGTCTGAGACTCGAACCACAGTTGGCCATGTGGGAGTCCAGCATCCTGACCACCATGCCACCTGCTGGCCCTGAAGAGAGCCAGCTTTTTTGTTATAGGGCACATGTGCTCACTGGGGAGACAGAGAGAAAGAAAGCAAGAAATCACCTTCAGTGGGGGAATGGCCACACCACAATCCCTTCTCCTCCATTCTCTCAGGATTTGGGGCATGGACACACATGTGCCCGGAGTGAGTTTTAAGCCATGGTCAACTATGTGGGAGTCGAGCAACATAACCATTATGCCATCTGCTGGACTCAGAAAGCCAGCTTTTTATCTATGTGAGGATGAAAGAAGTCAAAGGCCATCTATAAACCAGGAAGAACATTCACTACACACCCACATCTGCTGGCACCTTGATCAGACTTCCCAGCCTCTGAGACTTTAAGAAACGAATGTTTGTTATTTAGGCCACCTTATCTATGATCATTTGTTATAGCAGTCTGAACTAAGATCTACCCTCTAGATACATGATATATGAAAACACTGAACTTTTTGTCAATAGAATAAGTACTATTTCTGGATAATGCACTACTCTTCTCCTTTCTTCCCAAATTGCTAGCTAGAAGTTAGTAGTGGCTGAGAGCACCACAGTAAACCAAGAATGGCAATCATAACCTCACCTCGCCTCACCCTACCCTACCTTGTGCTGTACTATCTAGCATTGGACTTCTGAGAAAAAAATAAGTTTATACCTTTTTAAGCTATGCATTTTTCCTCCAACTTTTTATTATGAAAATTATAAACATACAAAAGGTAAAAGAGCAGTATAGGGACCAGCAGTTAGCGTAATGGCTATGTTGCTGGACTCCCACGTAGTCGACCGAGGTTCACGTCTCGGACCCGGTGGCTTAAATCTCACGCCGGGCGCGTGTGTGTGCGTGCCCAAGATCCCGAGAGGAGAATGGAGGAGGAGGG